AAACAGAGATAAGATTGCATATACTACTTACAGTACCTCACAGAATGTCAGAAAATTAGCTTGTAAATTAAAATGTTATATTCAGTAAATGTGAATTATGATTTTTGAAGTCTTTTGTTTCTTTCAAGTACCATCTTAGGTGGCAACAAAAAGCCTTCCCTGATACTTCTTTCTGAAAATGATTCTTCCCTCATATCCTCTTGTTTTGAATTTCTCATTACTGCTTGATCTCTCCTATGTAATTATCATAGTATAATTTGCACAATAGTTATTTCTGTGTGTGTGTATATATATATATATGTATATATATATATATGTGTGTGTGTGTGTATACACACACACATACACACATACAAACAGATTATAAGATCCTTCAAGATAGGGACAGAGGACTTTTTTTAATCTTTGTATCCAGTGCATCTAGTATGTGCTAAATAAAAGTTGGTTTAATTGAACAAAATAGAAACTCTGAAAGTAGGAATAGCCTAAGGAAAACTATAATGTATATTAGATGACTTTTTCATATCACTTTTCCCCAATAGATCTTGCTCTTTAACCCTTTGGGGACTCCACTTTTTTCAAAATTGTCCCCGCTTCTGCTCCTTGACAACTGTCCTATGTTCTAGTCTTGCTTTCAGTTGGTTATCAGTTAATACTTGCTGTTCTATTAACAACAAATTAAGGTGTTATCTGGGTGTCACTTGATTTTTTGCCACTGTTAGGGGTCATTACCCAATTGATAAATAGAAAAAAGAAATTAACAATGTTCAAGCAAAGAAATTTAAGCTATCAAAAGTGATATGAAAAAAATTCTGCAAATTACAAATTATTAGAGGAATGCAAATTAAACTCTGGAATTCTACCTTACATCCATCAAATGGGCAAAGTTGACAAAGAATGAAAGTAATAAATATTGGAAAGACTTTGAGAAAAAAGGTATAGTAATGCATCATTAGTAGAGCTGTAAATTGGTACAGCCATTTTAGAAATCAACTCTGTTCCTAAAGTTAGTAAACTGCATATCCTTTGATCAAGTAATACCACTCTGAGGTCTAAACCCTAAAGAGATCAAAGAAAGAAACAAAGGACCAATATGTACAAAAATATTTATAGCAGGTTTAGTGTTTTTTTCTTTTTTTGGCAGTAGCAAAGAACTAAGAACTAATGGGTACTCAACATTGGAGGAATGACTAAACAAATAATATTATGTAAATGTAATAGATCACTATTTAAGGGATGGTTTCAAAGAAACCTGGAAGATTTGTATGAACTGATATTGAATAAAGTGAGTAGAGCCAGAAGAACAGAGTAACAACACTGTAAAGGCAAACAACTTTAAAAGATTTAAGAACTCAGATCAATGCAATGACCATCTTTGAATCCAGACAATTCATGATAAAACATACTATTCTCATCTGACGGAGAGGGGATGGATTCAGACGGGAGGTTCAGATATTTTTTAGACATGGCCAATGAAGAAACTTATTTTGCTTCACTAAGTATATGTTTCAGAAGAGTTTTTTTTTTTTCTCAAATTGAGTAGAGGTAGTTAAGGGTAAGAAAACAAATGCATGTTAATTGGGAATTTAAAAAAAATACACTATTAAGGACATTTCATGTTCAGGTGCTCTCAAAGGAGAAGTAATATTCCCTGGGATGGGAGGTGAACTGTGACCTGACTCCTGAGACCTGTGTGATCAAGAAACTGAGCATAGGAAGAGAGGCCAAATCCCACTCTCTCAGTTACTGCTAGTAGCTACTCTTGTGTGAAAATTTCCAAAGACTCACTTTCCAAACTCAACAAAGGTACTTCAGGGCAATTAAAATCTAAGCAATATCTCATCTACAAAAGCAGCAGATTGGGGAAATCCTCCAAGCCCTCAACACACTTACTTCCTATCCTGTCACATATCATTTGATGTTTAAGGTGGGTGCCTGTAAAAGGGTATGCTTGATGATCCAGTGAAGTGACCAATGACTAAGCCTTGCCCCCCACCCTTTCATTCAGGGTTGGACAGAGTAAATTTCAATGGATGTGGTAACAGGTAATGGATGGGTTCTGACATACATAGCAGATCTCATTATGTAATCTTTTTTTTCTCAAACTCACTCTTTTCCAGATTTCCTATTAATGTAGAAGGCTCCAACACCTTTTTAGTCCCCTAGGTTCACATTCTCATTGTCATTTTTGTCTCCTCAATCTCACTTACTTATTCCATAAGTAAGCAAATTTTGTCATTTTTACATCCAAAACATCTCTCACATCTGTATGTTTCTCTCTACTCATCCAGCCTAGCTCAGACCCTTATCCTCTCTCACTTGGACTATTTCAACAGTCTCTTAATTTATCTCTTCTGTCTCAAAATTCTGCTCTCTTTCATCCATCTTCCACATAGCTGTCAAAGCAATTTCCCTAAGGCATACAGTCAGAGCATGGCACTCTCCTGCTCAAGTAACTCCTTATTTTCTCTATGATCCAATATTATTTCATCTTCATCTCATCTTTGTTTAGTTTGTATTTTGCCTATATTTTATAACATATAGAATAATTGCTAGAGGTATACAATTGATAAATAAATAAGCATGCACATATGGTGGGTGGTGAGTTCATTCTCTGAGTTTTTTTTCTTTTAAATTGATGGGGTACATAATCAAAACAGTTCGAATACCACTGCCAAATGCAAAATAATTTCTGAAAGATGGAAAAAATTGTCAATACCCAAAAGAGCAAAGTTATAAAAGTAGGTTGACAAAGAAGAGGACCCTATTCAGGGACTTTTCAAATCATATATGCATGCATATAGGCGTATACTCATTCTGACTTTTTGTGAAATCAGCTCTATCTAACCACTAAGAGAAATTCTAAAGCAACTATTGACAACATTTTGGTCAATACTCATGGACTCATCTTTTTTTTTTTTATTTCTTTGAATATCCCAAAAGCAAATCCAGACATAACAGAAATTGACTAGATAGAGATTTTGGAGAATCACCATATTAACAATCACAGTGGAATATTAATCATCATAGGTCTCTATGAAATCAGTATTATTTTCTTTGGATTATCTCTACCCACCTCCTCCAATTCTAGGATTTTTTTGGGGGGGGGGAGTTCCAAACGTAAAGAGATTTAAATTCGTATATAAAAGGAAGAAAATTAATTCAAATTGGGGCTGAATTTTTACACACATGCAAGTGCACAGTATAGCAGAATGAATAGAGAAACAGTCTTGGAGTTAGAAAGACTCAAATCAAAGCCATCCTCTGACAACTACTGACTGATAGGTACCTGGGCAACGCACTTAACCAGTCAGTGTTCCAGTCAATTCTCTAAGACTAGGAAGGGCAGATATGCTATATTTTAACTACAGATCTTTAAATCTAGGTATATTGTCCTTGATTTTATGATAATGGTACCTCAAGATCTGAGCAAATCTGGGGAAATGGCTTACATCTGTTTTGTGGTAAGTTGGTAAAAGCATGGGTTCATTCAGATAAGTAGAGCCAACTATCTTTTTCTTCTCCAAATTTAGCTAAAGTTTAGGTGGATTTCCACCAAATTAACTGATCTGTCTTTACACAATGTTCAGTCCATTGATAAGCTTGAAGCCTCTCTAGGTTGATAGGACCTGCCTTGACACTTTGTATGACCTCTACTGCAAGTCGAAACATAGAATCAGTTTTTAGTGGAGGTAGACATATCAACACAATTCAATAAAATGGAGTTAGCAATGGATAGAGAGAATTTTACATTTTAACCAAGTGCTCAACTTCATGGCTGCCTAACAAAAAGATTTAATTTAGAAGAGAGGTTCTTAACCTTGGGTCCACAGATCCCTTGGAACTTTTAATATTTTAATAAATGTTTCTCCATTTAATTAGTTTCTGTCGCAATCCTATGTATTTTGCTTTATATAATTAAGAACATTATTCTGAGAACTGTTCCTTAGGCTTCAACAGAATGCCAAAGGGATCTGTTAAGAACCTGGAATTTAGATGGATTTTCATAAAAATCAACTGCAAATATTATACTATTGACTCAACAGAAAATATTGTCAAACAATAATATTAAAACATCTTTAACTTTGAATAACAACTAATTTTTAGGTGAAATGTGGTTATAAATGGTTGTTTGAATGTTGTCTACTCTCTTGGAATGTGAGTTCTTTGAGGGAAAGAATAGTGTTTTTGTGTTTCTTTGTATTCTCAGTGCTTAGCACATAATAAGTACTTAACAAATGCTTTTTGACCAATAAATACACTAAAAACTTCTGGCAATTTATCTATTATGCAGTAATGCTTGCTGACAAATAAATGCACTAAAAACATTTGACAGTCAGTTTTTTGTGTTAAATGAAAGGATTTAAAAGTTATATATTTTATTTTGGAAAGATTTTTAGATTTGTTTTCACCAGAAGAACTATTTATTATTTTTATAAGTTTCTATTAAAATTTATTTTTATTTCCTAAGACTACATCAGGTGATAACAGTGAGAAAGACATTTGCTGAGTAATCTGAAAAGAAGTTAACCAAAAAGTTAATCTCATATTATACTTTTAATGCAGAAGATCCAAAAGACTAATGTTCATATGACTAACTTAAGAATTGACTAAAATTGAAATTACAATGAATGTCAATTACAAAGAGCAAAGAGAATTTCAATTTAGCCATGAGAATTCTGTCATTCATTAAAACCAAAAAACTAGGTAGCCTTGCATACATCCTAAATTGTCTAAATTGTCTAAACCATAAATTCATCCAGAAAAGTAATTTGACTTATGTTTCTTTCATATTAATAGAAGGTCAGACATGTGGACTTAAACTCAGTTCATAAAATCTAAACACTATAGCAGTGGGAGGTAAGATTATTAAATTCCTTTAAGACAAAGGATCTATTGCATTTGACAATGAGGACACTCAGTCATTGAGAAACTAGAGGAAGAAAATAGTTGAAAATAAACTTTTTTTTTCAGCGAACTGTATTTAAAAATAAACTGACCTTCTTAAAATTTTTGTTTAAGTCAACCAAGCTGAGCAGGAAGACGTGGTCCTTTGCTCCAAGCAGCAGCCTGCCCCTCTCCTCATCTAACAGCAGGGTTTGGAAATCCAGCCCTTCTGATGAACCCAAAAAGGGAATACAGCTGTTTGAAAGCAGCAAGTCTGTGGGAAAATGAAAGACCAAAAAAAATTATTTTCAATTCAAAATGTTGATTTAAGACTCACTATACACTTCGTAAATATATGCACACAGCATGAAGGTTTCAGTTTAGATAACTGCAAGGTACAATTTATTGTTCTTTGTATATGGTATTGTTCTTGTTAACCTGGACCAAACTTAGATTAATAATGTTTCAGTATCTGGATTTAGTGAAAACTGGAGGAATCCTATTGATTGATGGGGAAAAAAAGCCTTATTAAGCCCTAAATAATTGCCTATTGTGTTTCCACCCTGAGTTTAAAAAAATCTCCATATCAAACATTTGACTATCAGCAAAGCTTGCAGAATATTAAAAGAATGTGTCAGTAAAGCAGATAACATTGTACAGAGGAACAAATATTGGATCTGAGAAGCAGAAGTACTAGATATGGGCTGCAACTCCTTCCCTTCCTAAACCTAAATAGTTATTGCCAAAGCTTAGATGAAAACCCAATTGTTCTGATGCTCACTCAACTGCTCTGATGTACACACCATCTCCTGTTTTTTCTCTGTGAGACAGGCATAACTTCTAACTAAATGTGGGCCAGTTCAACAAGAAAAAAGTATTTTTTTTAATGGCCCCAAACTGCTTTCCCCAAACTCTGCATCATCTGTGGTATCTATCTTTCAATAGAAAATGTAGTTTGTGAACCTTACTTTTGAAGCTCAATGTGATGCCTCTTTGGCAGCCAATGAGAAGACTTCAGTTTGTGACACTCCCTCGAAGATGACAGTAAAAGACATCAAGTAGATGTACATCTCAAAAGTAGGCATCTTCATTTCTGCTTTTTTTTAAAAGAAGCAGTACGTAGTCATCCCTTAATTCCATACAATCATATATGATTATCCATCACCACATTGAATTTAGAGTCAAGGTTCCAATCCCAGCTCTGACCTTTGCATTCCTTATGTCTGTGGACAAGTCACTACTATCTTGATTCTTAGTTTCCTAATCTGTAAAACCGGTAACATATTGACTGTTCACAGGCTAAAGACGTCATCTGCCAAGGTTAAAATCTATATCAATGTGGATTATTGTTAATATTTCTGTGAGTACTCCTTTTCATTTTCATTATTTTATAAAGATTAAAATGTTATTTTCTTTAAATATCCAGTTTAGTCATTAAAGTAGATTTCTAAATGTGCATGGAAGGTTCTGTATTTATATTGGAATGCCTGGCTTTCATGGAATGAAAAAGGATTAGTTCAGTTTGGACAAACTATGAAAGTACATATCTTGATGAAGATGTGATACTATCTGAAGCCTCCAGTGGCTGTGATGTCACAAACCTCAGGGGCCTGGCTGAGATTTATGGAATGTATTTTATGTGCACTGGATAAAAGCTTGTATAGTATATACTCTGTAGTAATTATTTTTCTATGAAACTAAATACAACGTTGTAATAGCTTGTCAGCCCATAGCACCACTGGTGTTATATTTCCCAGAAGTTACAAAAGTTGAGAACTTGTCTTTACATGGGCAAACATCCAACTAATTTCCCATAATGGCCCTAAGGTAGAGGTAAGAAGGGAAGAGTGGAAGAGAAAGAATGGATGAGAGAAGTAAAATCCAGAGCAGTAATAAAATAATGCTCTTTTCTCATATACCCTTCTTTGGCCAGGCAATCCTGTAGCTTCAGTACGATTTCTTGGTAATTATCCAACCAATAAGTAAGAAATAGGAAAACTGGAAGTATATGGAATAAGTCCATCGAGGATCTCTCAGTCTGACTAGAGAAAACTATCTTATGAGCCAAGTTCTATTTCAAATGTCAATGCATGGTCTATAAAATGAAATATGGATTTAAGAAACTACACATTATATACTTAATTAGGGGTAAAGAGATGCTTTCTAAGAAAGAAATAGCATTCTCTGATGTTGCACCCTAAATGTGGCAATTTTTGTTCACCTCTGTATTTCCTAACACAATAATCATTCATTTTTTTTGCCTATACCAATGGAAGGAGGGGCCAGGGAAGAAGAGAAATATTGTATATATATATATATATGTGTGTGTGTGTGTACCTTTACACACATATGCACACACAAAACCCAAAACACCTGCTTTAATATTTGCTTATCCTGTACTGTTGTTCTTAGTTTCCAAACAAATTTGATTAGGGAAAAACAGCTGTAAAAATAACAGTTATCCTGAAGCATTGTTATTCAAGAATGATTAAATGATACCTTGTGATTTAATGTTGCAAATTAAAAAAAAAATAAAAAAGGTATGCTTCATCAAGTCAGTAGCCAAGTTAAACAATAAGCCTTGGACAGTATATATGGAAATCTTCTACTCTGAAGTACGGGTTATTTTGAAGGCAGCTTTGGGACAGGGATTTGAACAGGTTCCCTCTTTCCTAAGCAGGTTATCTTTCTTGCAATTTTGCCAAGCAAAGCACAGTCATCTCTCTTTACCCGCATATCTTCTAATAAGGGGCAACACAAAATTGTTAGCTACTAAGGGAACGTTTAGCACCAACGAGTACTCTGTGAAGGTGACCTAGAACCACAAAAAAGAGACTGGGTATTCAGCTGGGTAACCTGCGCAAATGAGAAGATAATAAACTGCCAATTGCCAGGCTCCTTAGAGAAGAGTTCCCCACAACCAGATCTTTTCTGGCACTGAGCCATACCTTGTCAGCCTTTTGTATAAAAAGCGTGTTTTCACAAGGGGAAAAGGGATGTGTGATTTAAGTGGAAGGCAAAAGAGTTTCCCTTGAGAGTAGTTCACTGGGAGGTAGGAGCTAGAGAGAGGGGGGAAGTTCAATAGTACAAGCTCCTTCCCAAGATACTTTAAACATTCCCTCTTTATCTTAAGTATAGTCTGTCTCTGTGACCTCATTCCCCATCATCACCTTGCTCTTACTCTTTTCTTTAGCAACCTATCTTTCACTGCCAGTTATTTTTTTTTCCTTGCAAAATCTGTTAGGACCACAACACCTGTCTCATTTTTTATTTGCTCTCCTATTTATCTTCTTATATGGACTGTTTCAACCACACCTGGGATTCCACTGACCTATGATTACACTGATATAGGGAAGTTCCTACCAGATTGACAACTACTTCAGTTTAGATACTTGCCTAGGCCAGAGATAGTTTAAGTGATTTGAATAGGGTAACAGAACCAGTATGTCTGAGATAGGCAGCTATTTGGCATACTAGACAAAGCACCAGGCCTGGAATTGAAAAGACTCATCTTCTTAAACTCTAATCTGATTTCAGACACTTACTAGGTATGTGACCCTGGGCAAGTCACGTAACCTCGTTTGCCTGAGTTTCCTCATCTTTAAAATGAGCTGGAGAAGGAAATGGCAAACTACTCTAGTAGCTTTGCCAAGAAAACCTGAAATGGGGTCATGAAGAGTCAGACATGACTGAAATGACTAAACAAGAGTGTCTGGGGTGGGATTTTAATCGGAGTTGTCCTGATTCCCAAGTCAGGTCTCTTTAACTATTGCCTCTATAACTAAAGCAAAAATCTCACTTGGAGAACAAAATGGCAAACCATTCTAGGATCTGTGCCTAAAAAAAAAAAAAAACCAAAACATAAATGGGATCACAACTGAAAACTACTGAACGACAATAAATTCTATATATATATATATATACATATATATATATACATATATATATATTTATAGATTTAAAGGCAGATGAGACCTTATGAGTACTTAGTCCAATCTCTTTGTTTTGAGGAAACAAAGAGTGGTCAAGTGACTGGTCCAGAGTAACACAGCTAGTGTCAAAGGAAGAATTTAATCCTACATCTTTCTGACTCTAAATCCAACACTCTATCTATTATGTCAAGTTATAATCTCAACTGAATATTTCTAAAATTAGACTATAACTGAGGTCAAAACTTGAGTATTTCTGAAATGGACAATACATAGAACTTTAAAGTTGGAAAGGATCTCTAGTATCATTTCGTCCCCCACCCTCTCATTAATCTACATAAGGTGTTATTATTAATCTCTCCTAATTTATTAAATAAAAAAGTTAAAATGAAAGATTTTGTTGTAAAGCTAACATTTCGTGTAGGCTGAAGGGGAGAGGAAATGACCCTCAAAGATGACTCCACACAATACTGAAAATCCCTAGGTCAAACAATTTTAGCTCTAGTAGAGATTGCTGAATCCAAACCTATGACACAGATGAGAAAACTAAGGTCCCCAGAAATGAGATGATTTGTTCCAGGTCACACAGTCAATTACTTCTTTCTTTTCTTGATAGAATTTACAGTTCTTGCCTAAAATCAAGAATTCAGAATCATATCTTCTAATTAGAATGTTACTGGAATCACTACTCTTAATAAACACAATGATCTTTGTATTTGTAAAGGCAACTAGCAAATACTTAAGAAAGAATAGTATAAATATATAAGGGACATATGAGAAATATATAAAAAATGAAAGGATCATAAATTTAGAGCTAGAAGAGCTTATCTAGTCAAACTGAGGGAATTAAGTGACTTGTCCAAGGTCACATGTATAGAAAGGGGCAAAGCTGAGATATTAACCTGGATCTAACTCGCATGTCCAAGACTGTTTCTACTACAACATACTGCCTCTCATGTCCCATGATAACCACAATGCAAATTTCTGAACACAAAAAAGAAGGGATTTTAGATATTTTGCTCAATGCCTCCTTTTACAGATAAGGAAACCAAGTCCTAATTAAGTGAAATGACTCACCCAGGAGCATTTAACTAGGAACCTGATATCCAACATATTGCCCAAGGACCATATATAATTTACCAGAGATCTTTAACAAAAACTTTTAGACCTAACTATCTAACCACCACTACTATTGTGTAAATGGCTGGCCCCAAGTAGTTATGCTGACATGCTTAACTCAATTTAATAATTGCAAAAAATCCATATGACCTATGACCTATCCTCATGTGTTTTACATATGGATTTCAGATAAAGAGACAGCATGCTGCAGCTGAGAATGCAACAG